TTTTTTTTTTTTTTTTTTTTTTTTTTTTTTTTTTTTTTTTTTTTTTTTTTTTTTTTTTTTTTTTTTTTTTTTTTTTTTTTTTTTTTTTTTTTTTTTTTTTTTTTTTTTTTTTTTTTCCTTTGGCCTAATTAATATCTTTGGTGGAGACAGTGCTGGAGAACAGACCTGATCCCTGAACAGGGAATAGCAAGAACCTCTCTGTAACCTAACACAGACAGAAATATCAACAGATTTGTTGCTGTGAGTGCACGGGAAAAAACAAATGTTTAATCTGTATTTAGGAAGATCTAACTTCCATAGCAGAAGTTGCAATTTATACTATGGTCCAAATAACTCATATTACATATTCCTGCTGCAAGGACATAATCTTTTATAAGCAGTAATATTCTATTGGTCACTCAGCAGAATACAACTTCTTCTCAAATTAATTATGTTATTATTTAGGAAGCAGAAAAAAATATTCCTCTTCTCTTTCCTCACAGTTCCTGAGCATAAGTGAGGAATCTGGTGCCTGGGCTTTCCTTTGTGCTTTGTCTTAGACTGCTAAGACTATCTTATTTTCTTTAATCAATTGCCTTTGCCCTCAGTTGGTTTCATTATTTCTCCACAACAAGAGTCCTGCTGTGGTTTAGTGGTAATAACCCAAGATTGGATGCTTATGTGTGATCTCTCTGATCCAGGGCAAGGTGGAAGCTGAGTTTCACTTAGTCACAGCAGAAGAAGCTGAGAAGAATCCAGTGGGAAAAGCTCGAAAGGAGCCTGAGCCCTTGGAAAAACCCAAGTGAGTATGAGCATACTCACTAAACAGGAGAGGCAGCCTGGCTGCTGGCACTTGGAGCTGGCATTACCTTCCTGGCATTTAGGTTTGCTGAATAGCTGATAACATCTTAACATGATAACACCTAAAATTATCATAACTTACAGATATACCCAATACCTCAGGTTGGTCACCTATAAAGATCAGATGGATTATATTTATTATATTAATAATAGAGTCATTTAGGTGGGAAAAAAACTCTCAGATCGTCAACTGTTAATCTGGCACTGCCAAGTCTGCCACTAAACCATGTCCCTAAATACCACATCATCATGTTTTTTTAATACCTCTGGGGATGGTGACTCCACCACTTCCCTGAGCAGCCAGTTCCAATGCTTGATGACCCTTTTAGTCAATAATTTTTGTCCTAATATCCAACATAAATCTTTCTTGGAGCAAACTGAGGTAATTTCCTCTCATTCTGCTGCTTGTTGCTTGAGAGAAGAAGAAGCCATCCCCCACCTGGCTACAACCTCCTTTCAGGTAGTTTTAGAGAACAATAAGGTCTCTCCTGAGCCTCCTCTTCTGCAGGCTAAACATCCCCAGCTCCCTCAGCTTCTCCTCATAAGACTTGTGCTCCAGACCCTTCACCACCTCCATTGCCCTTCTCTGGTCATGCAAATGATATAACTTTGAAATTCTTTTCTACTTTTATTGTACTTCATACTCAAAGAATGAAGATGCTTATTTTTCATCATGAGACTTTTTAATGAGGGCATTTAAAGTAGTTTAACAAAGGCTAATGATCTAGAAGGAGCATTTTATCTTTCAGTATTTGTCACATTAAAAAAAATTATTGTCTGAGATTTTTTGCGTTTTGAGAAAAGGAACATATACTCTATTTTGGTTCAAGTGCTTTGTTCTACTAAAGTAATGAGGTACATTAAATAAAAAAGAAAAAAGAGAGAGAAAAATTGATGTTGTATTTCCTGCTACCAAAGCTTCTAAAAATCAATTGCTAATCATAATGGTAATCATCACATTAATTTCCTGTTAAATTTTTTTTGTTTGATATATATAAAAATGAAAAAAGAGGAAACAGCATAAAGGAATTGCCAATACCCTTTAAAAGGGTGCAAATTTAGCCTGAAAATTGGAGGTATCAGAGACTTGTTGAAAACTGGCCTTGGAAAGACTTTAATCAAACATTTCACTCAAAATCTTTACCCAAAGGCATGATGAGCTATGCCTGCCTGAAAGATTCCCAGTAACAGAAACTAAAGCACTGTCTTACAGAGGAGTGAGGACTGAGATAGCTCTGAAATAGATGTGATGGGAAGCAATCAGCCTAGGGAGTTTTAAGAAAGAGTGTACTGTGTAGTGGAATAAATACATGTCCAGGAGATTGTCAATAGGTTGCATAAGGCACCATCACATTTTCTTTTCATTTTTTCAGTCCCAGCCCATGCACTCCAGGCAGCCTGGGGCTCCAGTCTTCCCTGTGTTTTCACCTCAAGGGCATTTAGTTCACAAAGGTACTGGTGGGCCAAAAGGTTGTCACTAGCCTGGTGGCCCCTCCTCTGCTGCACACTCAGCCTGGAGGTGTTTTGATCCAGCAGGCATAAAACCAGGGTCTTCCTCCAGATCTTGCAATGAGTAATCAGAGGCTCCACATCTGCATTTTTGAAATACACAGCCAACACGTGGCTCAATGCAGTTCTAGTCTTAATTAAGATATACGACTCAATTAAATCGAAATTAGGATTGGGCTAGTGTCAGTCGGCACTACCCATCTCAGAAGCAAAACATTCAGGCTCCTTTTGTAGCTGCTCATGCACAGGTGGGAGGGTCAGCCCATTTACCTGCCACACATACCCTAGGATGGGAGCTGGGGAAGGAGATGGCTTGTCCTTTAGAAGGTCCTTCCTGACTGACCAGGCCGGGCCCTGAAGTTTTAAAGTTAAGCAAAATAAATCCTAAAGTTACTAAAGCAATGTCAGCTTGTGAATAGTAAAAACTGATTTAGCTCACTCACTTACTGGGAAGAAAATAAACTGGTAGTTGAAGACACGGCATGCCTCAGCTCCATTAAGGTTTAAAGGTATTAAAGCTTACCAGCTCAGTGCCTCTGAGTGATGGAATATGTGGTTCATATATGCAGAGTAGTCACAATCAGCTGAGAGATAACTGTTTCTGCCCTTTAAATGAGCCCTCTTCAGGAAGAAAGGGATCTCAAGGAGCTTTGTGTCAGGACCTCCAGATCTCTATCACAATACTGTAGGTTTACATTTTTTTTTTCTTTTTTTTTGCTCATCATGTAGGATCACGCAGAGAAGCACAGAAGTTTTCAGATTGTTTTGTGTAATTAATTTTTTTTAATTAAGAAACAAAATCATTTCAAAACCAAAATTATCTTCTAGGAGCTGTAGACAGTAGCAGACTCTTTAATATACCAGAGCAAAGGTGGACAAAGATTAAATGTCTGCGAACTAGAGAGGGAAACATGTAAATGAAAAATAGGGTGCAATGAGTATAATTTCCTGCTGGCCAAAGCACCATGAGATTATCCATCTCTTCATCTCTGCTGATCCAGACAGGATGCTTTTCCGGATGCAGTCTATTACAATAAAAGCACTGCTACAGCTGGTACTGAATTCTATTGCCTACGTTGCAAAGAAAACAAATTAAATGAGCAACAGTCTGGGCTTTTTTCCTTACCTTTAAAGGTTATGAAAAGCCCTTCAGGAGACAGAACATGCAGACTATTCTTCAGAGTACTTCTTCAGAGTACCCAGTTTTTTAATAATTCCTTTTAACCTGGAGGGCTTACTTGTTGATTTATTTCTGAGTCATTTCCACCTCAGTATAAAACACAGTCTTTAATTAAAAGATATTCAGTTGGCCTTTCAGATTTACAGACTTTTTGTCACTTTGGCATTCACTTCCACATGCTAAATGCTGAGTTCACCAGATAACTAAGGTATTGCTTAAATTCCTGATACAGCTTTCTGGGGTGAGATGCAGCCATAGCTCTTTGTGACCTTCAGTTAATTTCGTTCTCCTCACTGCTGAACCATCTGCACAATTACAGCAACAACGGATAAGAAAAACAACCTGCCCCAGTTTTGCAGGGGTTAATGTTGCTCCACACCACTGTGTTCATCAGATCACCCCATCATCATACAGAGCTGACAGATGTTGTCTTGGGTAGGGCTGTTAAGTCAGAGACACTGTGCCCTCCCAAGCTGAGTGAAATGTCAGAGGAGAGGCTGTGCCAACTCTTCCAAGGAGAACGCTGCTTTCCCCTCTTTATGCAGTTAGCTTTGTTGTACAGCGTGCAGAAACTTCTGCTTATGGAAGAGAATATAACATGGGACAACATTTGGAAAAAAAACTGGGTTGTGGGATGCAGGTATTCTCCACTGGAAGAAGGTGACTCTTTTTCATGTACGCAGGAAAACTACCCCACTTTCATCTCATCATCATTTCCTGTTTCCAGGAGGCCTGTTTTAAATTTCCTCCTGAAAATACACCATTTTTTGGCCATATGCCAGATCCAAGCTTGTTCTATTATGGCACCATGACTATCACTGTGCAATCATCTATTTTGTAGTGGCTCATTACCACTTTCGTGATGCTAAATTCTCTGAAATGATGGGAAAGCTTTTGTACGCAAGTTCAAGATGCCCAGCTGTTTTCTTTAGGATTTATCATGATCTTGTCTGTAATTTTCACCTCCATATCTTGACATAAATTGGAGTATTTATGAAGTGAAAGCTGGAATTTGATTTTGAGTGTTGTGTAGAACTTGAGCTTGGGGATGGGTGGAAGAAAAGCGACCCAATAGCTTTGTGAAATTCGTGGATGTTCCCTCTAAAATCTGTAGTATGTTCCCAGTAGTTAAAGGTCTTTTTTAAACTCACACATATATGTATATTGCAGTGGGATAACTTTGAAAAGAGATGGATCTGCCTTTATGAAAGTTCTTCTTTTTCTTTCTTCCCATTTAGCCGACCAGACACATCCTTCTCTTGGTTTGTAAATCCTTTCAAGTGTTTGTATCACCTGATCTGGAAAAATTACAAGAAGTACATCATCATCGGCATAATTCTTCTTATTCTTGTCATCTTCCTGGTGCTCTTCATCTACACACTGCCAGGTGCAATCAGTGAAAGGATAGTTCTGGGATAAATGTAAGTTATGTCTCTCATTGTAATCAATCATATACGAAGACTTCAGCTAAAAATAAAACTCAGGCAAAAAGAATTAACCTGAAACACACCTCATTCCTTGTAAAAAGAAAAATAACTATTTGCTTCAGAAACTGGACATCTCAGAATATTTTAATGTCCTTTTTAAATGCTCATTCAGACCCAGCCTTTATGTACATTATCATTAACCTACTGGTGCAGCTTTATTGACATTGATATTGAAAGTGTCATTATGTAGCTAAAAGTGAGTTTGAAAGTAAATTCCTCAGTGCTATGCAGAAACTGATTTGTCAGTCACGTATTTATTTTTATGGACAAATAATTAAATATTGAGAGCAAAATCTGTACACAAAGATAAATGTAGTATGTGCATAGTTTTGTAATTAATTATTTTAACTTTTTTTCAATGACCTTATAATGGAATGCTTATTTTTAAATAAAAGGTTTTATTACAAAAAAATCTGAGGTTAAATTGTCTCATTTGATGTCATGTGCAAAATTCATCCTGTATCTCTCAGTAGGAATCCTGTGCTCTATGAAAACATCTCACACACTCATAAATAACGTAGGTGCCAGTGATGGGGGGAGGGTAAAAGGAGAGATTAAGAGAACCTTTTTCAGTTGCAGTTTGAAACTGCTGGAGGTTACTGGAGGAGAGGGATCAGGAAGATAAGGACTCAGCCATGGGTACTGTGGTAGCAAATGATCCTTGTAGAGGACAGGGAGCAGGCAGAATCCTGCTGCTTGAAAAGCAGAGCCAAAGAGCAATGGAAAACAGAAGGGCTGCAGGGTGGAACAAGCTGTGGAAGATTAAAGAAAACAAGGAATAAAACCTTACACAGTTGTCAGTGTGAAAATCCTCACCATAAAGAATACAGAAAATGCTGCTCTCTGTGTCATGCATAAGGCAAGGCTTAGTAACTCAGACCTTACTTGGCCTTAAAATGAGGGGTTATGAATTTGAAACAGCTATTGAAATCTTCTCCAATCTCACCCATGGTTAGACATGTTGTAAAGGTGACCTTTGAGAAAAGGTTTTCCACTATGCTCCACTCATAGAAATTTAAGCACCCTTTGCACACCTTAAAGTATCAAAAGGCAAGACAGAGATCCTATAAATGCTGATATTTCTGCCAAGCTCGGGGTGCAGGAATAGAAAAGCAAGCACCTGACTAATTCTCAGAGGCCACTTCTAAGGGAAGCTTGTCAGGTAGTGCTTGCACCTGCCCTGTTAAGGTTGTGCAGTGAGCCCCTGTGTTCCCCTCTGGCCTACACCACAAGTAATTGCATTATTCTGAAAAATGGGTGTCAGTGAAACTTCCACAGAAAAAGTATTTTACATTTGAAAAGCATTCTAGAGGCTTATTTTGGATGGGATGAATTGCTCTACAAGTGTCTCATTCCACTGATGAGAGAGGCAGATGGCTAAAGGCAGGCTGAAATCATCCTGTTCCTACCCATCCAGCAGATTGTGACTCAGTATTTCTTCTAAATTTCATCTTCTAAGTATACAGTAAATAAAAATCAATTATCCAGATATGTGAGTAAATACATTACTACTAGACATGTGGCAAAGCACCACAGTGGATGAGGTTTTGTGTTGGGCTATTTTCCTGTAGAAGTGTATTTAATATGACCAAGAAATTAGAAAACATGGTTGAATCTGCACTAGTTAAATGCAGCAATGCAAGACAATGATGGGGAAAGGTGCTGATCACCCCTGAGTCCCTCTTTGTCTCTTTTCGCTCTGCACTGGCCCCTTACCTGGGAGTTCTCTACTTACACAGTGTGTGTCATGCATTCCTCTGAAACAACCTGTCTTTCAATTTTGTGCTATTTTGCAATTGAGCTTGTAGGAAACAGAAAAGGAAATACTTTTTCTCCTAATATGTCTCACAATACCATGAATTTTGGAAATGCAATTTAAAAACTCCAAGAAGAGCAAATCAAATTATTTTGGTGCAAAAGGCGAGAGATGAATATTGACAAGCAGAGCACGTTGTGATAGCCAGAAAGGTAATGGATCTGATTTTTTTCCAGTGTGTTATGTCAGTGGTCCTGATCCTGTATGGCAGCTGCTGTATCCATCTGTCCTTACTCTGCTTGTTTGCTCTTGCTGCCTCGTACTGTGTGGAGCACTGGACTGTGGCTTGAGCCCCCTGTCCTTGCCAGAGGGCCCTCCTGCATGACTGCAGTACCAAGCCTTGGCTCTGGACCCCAGCAGCAAGCACACAGTAGCAGCAGCACTGCTAGGACAAGATAGCTGAAATTACGTACAAGTCCTGGTCTGTGTCTGGCTGAGCAGGGACCATAAAATGACCCTGTCCCCCTTTGTCCCTTGTATCCCAGTGGAAAACACCATCTCCTTCACTCCTGCTGCCCCTGGGGTCTTCATTCCCCTGCAGCATGATCATTCCTGAGCCATTTTTATCACTGAACACCCTGGGAAAATCCTGCAGTTAGGCTAAAAAAGGGTATCGTGCAGACCAAACACAGGCAAGCTAACTCTTCCACGCCTCTTAAACTGCCTGTCACTACACTCAACACGTGTAGGCTGAGCTGGATAGCACTGTCTTATGGGACAAAGCTGAATCAAACACCTTTTGATGATCTGATAAGGTGGTTTTGTCAGGGTCATGAAGCCAGTGGGGTTGGGGTGTGTGCAGGGGGTCTGCCCTCCCTGCTTGCTGCAGAATATTCTGTGCCTTATTCTCAGCCTGCAAACTGCACTGGGCCCAGCAGATTGGTCTCATAGTGACTAATGACTAAGTTTAAATCACTTACATTTGGAAGAAACAAATTCCCTGATGAGGTGATAAAGGGATTTGTTTCCTCCACATGTTAGTCACAGAAATGGCTTTTGATTGCCAGGCAGAGCTCCTCATTGCTCTGTGTGCTGACTCTGAGCTCCAAAGGGATATTTACGATCTTGGCTGAATAGCCTGCTCGCTGTCAGCTCCTAAATGCAGAGCACTGTCTCCTTCCAGACTAATTTATACATTTTCTATCAGCTATTTGTGACTGGGAAAAAGCTCAGCCTAGGATCTGGTTCCAGCCTCCCAGACATTTGGTGTATGACAACCACCTCTCCTTTCCGCTTCCTAATTAATCCCTGTCTCAAAAGTAAACAAACAAATTTTCGTATTTTTCTGATAGAGAAAGGAAAACTTATAAAATCTTCCAGACTGCCTCTCTTTTAATCACTTCAGTAAGCAGGTATGGAGACTACTCGGAGCTACCTTAATGAGCAGAAACTGTGTGTCTGCCTCTGTTGCTTCCTCGGTGCCTCTGCCTTGGCTCCAGGACTCCGCCTCAGTAACAGAGGCCGCCTTTATTAAGAATGAGCTGGAAAGATCTCTGGCTGTTCTCTCTCTCCCTCTGACTGAAGAGTGGCCCTGGCTGAACTCTCTGTGATAACACTGACAGCTCATTAAGCAGCTAATTCCAGCATGCTGTTCTTTCAGAGTTACCTGCTCATCACAGCTCAGAATGTATTTCATATCACAGCCCCTCAAAAGGGCTGTGCTTGACCTGCCGGAGCAGGAGAACAATGCCTCCCCCTTTTGCTGGGATGGTGGCTGATACTCTTTTCCAAGCACCATTGTTCCTGCCAGAGAGCAACTAAAAAGCCACAAGTGTGGCTGCAGGCAACTGCTGGCTCAGAAATCAGAGTTAAGGGGAGGCTGACAGATGGGAGGGAAACCATCTTCAGTTTATGTGTCCAGGTGCAGACTGCATTTTCCCTTGCCAGTCAGGCACTGAAAACATGGCAGACCTGCAGGTGATATCTGCAGGTGCTGTGAGACTTCTTCCCTAAATGTCAGTTTAGACAGGCAGGTACAGAAATTTGGTATCCGATAGTGGGCAAAATTGAGAATCATTGGAGACTGGGAAATACTGTAATATATGTAAAAACATATAGCAAATATAGACCAAGAACTCTTCAGATGTCTACCATTGTTAGGTAGGATGGCTGAACATTATAGTTGTACTGCTGATACTTCCTCCAGTGGATTCCTTTTCCTCCAGTTCTTTGTTGTTCTCTGCAGTTCTCATCAAGAACGGTGTCTCTGTGCCCTCAGTCCCTGAACCTGGCAGTCAGCCACCCTGGGATACCTCGGGGTGGTTACCTGAAAATCTCAGAATTATCTTTCACCCACTTTTGCTACCTGCAGCCTAAGTGGCTACAGCTGGTCCAGCTGCCTCAACCCTTGCAAGCAACCTTGCACCCAGGAGCAATGGTTACAGCTCCCCCTGGACCAAGGGACAGGTATCAGGCTCGAGGAAATCCTGACAGGTTTGTCATGGCCAGAGCATATTGGTATATGCCATTCTGCACTGCAACTTACACGCCAGATTTCAGGAAAACATTAGGAAAGGAACCAAATGCAATTCCAAAGGCTGCTGATGCATCATGAGAGACAAGGATTTATTTTTTTGTTTATTTATTTGTTAGTGAGGTTTCTTTTTCCTGACAGATAAGCAATAGTTAATCCTCTCCAGAAACAAGCACACAGTTCTGATATACTGACAAAGCACTGGCCTGTCAATATGACTGTACATCAAATAAACACTGCCTGTGTTTAGTGCTTGTGATGAACTTTTAATTAGCCATAGCAATAAAACCTCACCAAAGCACTTAACAAAACACTTTTCAAATGCCTCCTGACACCATCATTATGCTCTTGGCTCTTGGTGTGTGAATAGTTTGACCCAAGAGAGCAGATTTGCCTTCGACTGTTGGCTCTCTGGAATCGGTACCCACAGTGCAGATGGATGCACACACAGCTTGTGTGAAACTGCTGCACTACAGCAGCTTCTAAGGCTATTTTAGTGCCTTGGAACACAACTGCAGTGAAAATAGAAGAGTAAAGACATTATATTAAGCAAACTGCGATAATAAGAGCAACTCATTATTAAGAGAAGTAGTGAGAGTCATCTCATTCTGCTCAGTTAGCACATTTCTTCTCCTTCAATATCTTCATTTGGAAACAGTTTGCATGTTCCAAGCTCTGCTTTGACTGAATGCTGCTGGGTTACAGCTTACACAGATATACCATGAGCATCTATGGGTTTTGCTGATGGCTCTGGAAGCTGGATTTTGATGTACCATGGCCAGGTCTCTGTGTTCTTGGCAAGAGGAGTTGGAGGAGCTATTTGTGAGAAGCACTTATGTGTGTAAAATGTGACAAATATGGAGAATGCTTTCAAAAACAAGCACTCTTATTTTCCCTCCCAGGGGCACAATAGACACTTAACAGAGTTGAATATCTGCCTTCTCCAGTGCTGTCTGTGTGATCCTGGGTCAACATCTCTCACTGCTGATGGTCACTTCCCACCAC